ATCTCCCCAAAACCCCAAAACCCCAAAACCCCAAATGTCTGAGTGGTGACTAACTGACATGAATTAACTTTAATTTAAAATCAGTTAAAAATGCAGCATTTCAATAATTCCTTATCTCAAATCGAAACCTCCATCGCTCGAAATAGCTCTCATCTCTAAATGGAGTTATCATAGAGCTAGAATTCATAGTTCGGAGGGTCAAATTAACCAGATATTAGTGATACACTCTCAAATATCAAAGTAGAATTTACAGGCATAAATGAATGCAAATATCCAGGCACATAAGTGCAATCAACCAATCAGACTATTAGGAATGATAATAAGAACAAGATATTCGAATTGAATATTGATAAAATAAGATTCAATAAAAGGGAATTTGATAATAACATATCTCAATCAGATAAAAATATATTAAGGAAATTACTTTTCACAGAGCAGGATTTTGAGTAGAACTAGCAATATTTGAACATTATTTCCAATAAAATTAGTTCAAGATCTCCTAAGAATTCATCAAGATTATTTCAGCTTGAGAAAGTACTTATAGAAACTCTTTAATCTAAATCTAAAAGTCAACCTAGATAAAGACCCAGAAAAACTTTATAGCCTGTAATATTGAGTTAGAGCTAAGCATAAGTCACAAACATATTTGATTAAACTTAAATATTGAACAATCGTAATTAAATGCAACAAAGAAAAGAAGAGAGCACCGAAACTGACTACAATTCCTAGAGATAGAGTGATGAGCAAATCTCGTCTGATCCAAGATCCTTGCTCCTAGATTTCAGAGAATTAATTTAAGTCGAGTAAGTATAGCAATATAACAAAATTTAGCCTGTTTAGAATAAAAAGAGATCCAAATCAGCCCAAAGAACATTAATTGTAAAAGTAATCGAATAAGTAAAGAATAGCTTCTAAGCAGACTATTTTTCAAGTAGTTAACTTAATTAAGAAATTAAAAAGGAAGATACTTAGCAATCATTTGCTGTTTTGTCTAACTAAACATTTTCTGAATATCCTAATCGAAGTTTCTAAAGCAAATAAGGTAATCCAGTTCTATGTGACAGAAGCGTTCAAATGACAAATTAATAAAATTCTTTTAACCACACAGCCCAGGATTCGTCATTTTTAACTAATCCTAATATGAAAGTCAACTAGTTGGTTAGTGATTTGCAAATAATGAAAAATATATCTCCCTAATTCAATAGCAATAAATCATCAAGCTAATATAAATCAGAATAATCTTAAAAATCTAGATAGAGCCCTAAAATTTAAGAACCTCTTTGTCTTAGCATAGAGAAGAATATCAATTAATTTGAGATTGTGCATTAAAAATAGTAGGAAAGATTTTCTAGACTAATGAAGAGTCCATTTGATTATGATAATTCTTGCTCAAATCTAATAAGTACATAAGAGGGTATAAATATGTACAAATCGAGCAATCATACAAGAGTTAACTCATTCAGTGGGACTAAATACAATTTGAATTTAGTGAATAAATCTCGGATAAGCAATAGCTCGAAGTAAGGTAAGAGAAACCTTTGTAGGACAAAATAATTTCAACCTTAGAATAATGAAAGTTTGATACTGAATCAAAAATCAACTTAATAGACTAATAGATCACTCTTACTTAAATAAGACTAATCTGATTTAAGTATTAAGTCATCTATGTAGAAATTCAATTAAACAAAGAAGTCACTGAAAAAGCCCAAGCTTGACAACAGCTTCAAGGAAAATATAGAAAGCAATTAAACGTTATAGAAAATCCCAATGCCAAAGTTGAATTCAAAAATTTAAGAATATTCTACTGAAATCAAATAAAAATTCAACACAGAAATAGATAAGATTTTAAATTTGCTCTAGTAAAGAAATAACTGATAAGAAAATGTAGTTCATTATGAAATCAAGTTTAATAAATTATTAATGTGAGTGAGTATTCTAATAAATGGAATTAAAATCAAACAAATCAATAATTCTCATTAGTTGATTAAACTGATTATTTTCTTATAAATGATTCCTATATTTTATTATTTCTTTCTTTTACTCATATATTCTTATATGATCTTTCTGGACTTTCATTAATGGGAAAATTCTTCATAATTGAGTTCTACTTTAAATTGCTTCCATTATAACCCATACTACTATTCTTAGGTGATGTCTCTTTAAAGAAGTATTTAAGCGTTAAGTTCTGGATGCCTCTTCTTGCTTTCTAGTAATTGATTGCTATATATATTAATATATGAGTTCAATAAAACTTACTTCTATCATCGAAATTGTATAAAGATGATACAAACTTCGTAAACTTTTATCCTTTGTCAAGATTGTTGTCAATGATTTCATCATTCTTTGTTCCAAATGCGATACTTTGAGACAGATTAAGACTTTGATTTAACTCTACAACTGCCTATTCTGCATTCGCCTGCAATATATTCATCTGCTAAGACGAATAATTATTTATTCTTTCCTTTGCTTTTGATTCACTATATATAGCTAGCCCCTTATTAATGTCTATAATGCTTTCCTACTTAGAAAAATTTTGATTTCGCATCTATTTTTCGGAGCTATTAGCATTAGATGGAGATGGCTTTTCATTATTCTTGGTACTCCAGTATTCTCTCTTTTTCAGTTGATTATTACTCATATCCTTTGTAGGAATGAGCAAATTTTTATGTTTAAACTTCTTATTAATGTTTTCTGGATCTAGCTTGTCAAGCTTGATCTCACTCTATAGTTTATTATGCAATTCAGATATTTGATGGATACTTTGATGCTATAAATGATGCTTTAAATCTTTGTTTGCCATCTATAATGTGTATTGCTTCTGCTGATGATTTTAATTCTCAACAACAGGGATATCTTCATCTGAGCTAATAGTAGTATACTTTGCTTTGAGAACATTATTCTTATTTCTATTTCTTGTTGGGAAAATGTTCATATTTACTTTGCCTGTTCCACTCATAGGACTTCCTTCAGTATTGAGGATCTAAATTGAAGGAGGCAAAAGCTCAATTTAAGAGATAGTTGATGCTACTATTGATTACTTGCTTTTGATACTTTTGTATGGTTAGCTCATTGACGATTAAGAGCGTAATTAGAACATTTCAATGTAACTATTTTATTTGAGACTTGGGTTCTTTTAATGAAGTGAAATAGGCGGTAGGATATTCAAATTAGGGCCTGTATCTATTGACATTCTTTTAGAAAACTTATCAAATATAGTCACGTTCTAAGAATTATAACCGCTGGTGTTAATCTTAGCAAATGGTATTATTGTTGTAACATGCTTTTATTAATATATTGACTAACTACTCTGCTATCTTTCCCTAATTTCAATATGGGAGTTAAAAATTGAATCATTATGAGAATTTAGCACACTTTCTCCGTTAGACTTGATAGAGAACTCCTACGCTTTGGCAAATGTCGGAGAGATCTAATTTTATCTTTGATTTATGATTTTCTACTGATGGTTATAATTATTTTGGATAGTTCTGAGATTGCTAGCGACCATTTCAGAAATTTTAGGCTGTAACTTCCTTTTTTTCTTAAAGTCCTCCATTTGCTTGATTTGTGAAGAATAGTCAGTAGCTGGGACTATCAGCATCTTATCCTTCAATTTATCCACTCTTTGTTTCCTATAATATGATTAAATCCTCAATCCTTGAAAATAAAATTACATCGGACTAGATACTTATGTTTGATATTTCATGTTAGTTAGTAAATTAAATAATTATAAATTAAAACACTTAACTTATCTCAATTTATTCATGATAATTGCACTTAAAATTTCAAATCTCACCTTCATATTCACTATTCTAAATAAGCTATGCTCTTAATTATTCTATTAATTTATCCTTTTCTGCTAATTACCTTCTTAAATCCTCTATTAAGTCTATACTTTCATCTTTTTCTTTAGTTTCTATAGGATTTTACTATTCTTTAATCTAGACCTAAACTTTATCTGTTATTTCCAAATTTTATTAGGCCTGATCAAATTAAGTTTTGAATTTATTAAAAATTTAAGCAATTTTCTTGATATTAATAGCCAAAGACCTACTATTAAGTACTTTCTTAGTTTTAAACCTTACTTAGTCTTCATCTTATTCATCGTCCTCACTGAGAGTTGCATAGGGATCAAGAATTTTCTTGCTAGTTTTTCTAATTCTGAAGCTTGGCTATCCATTTTCATTATATTTTTCAGCATTGCTAATACTCTGCATAGTTCGGATATTTTTAGGTAGTTTTTTATTAATTAACTAAGATTGATCTTTAATTGAAATATTAAGGCTACCCTTGTCACCATTGGTACCTTCTAGCGAAGATTTCTTTTAAACAAATGACTTTTTAATTAGATTATCACTTAAGTCTCTTTGGAATCTATTAGGTCTAGATTCAGATATTTCCTATTGCTAGGGCTAATATCGCTAATTACTCACACTTGTTCTTTTATGAATAATACTATCTGATTAGAGATTAGAGTTAAACTCATAATCTTGTTGTTGGGGATTCAAATTTTGATTTTTAGGCTTAAATTGTGCAGCTCTAAAGTTTTTATCTAGAGTTACGTTTTAATTACTTAATGTTATAGATTATCTTTCGACCGATTAAGACATTCTATCATAATCTCTTGGCTTCGCTGAATATTACTAAGAATTTTAGTTGGTTTTAGTTAAAGATCTTATCTAAACTCTTTGAAATTTCTTTTCAGGATCAAAGTTATTATGAATTTCATATTTCAATGGAGGCAAACTCCTATTCATTGATGATAGTTAAAGATCATCATATCTCGATTTGTTAGTACCGACCGATATATCACGATCTGAAGTCTGAAATTTATTGAGCTTTTGACTTGCTCAAGATAAGTTATTCATTAGATTTTTCATATTGGGATTAGGACTTTATTTCTCTAAATTTTAGTTAAATTGAAGCTTTATGATCTTACAGAGAGTAAAGTAAACATGAAATACGCTTGCAGGATCATTCATAGAGCTGAAATTTTTGCCTTTTTTCCTATTTTTTCTAATTTTCATCTTTTACTAGTTGCTAATTATTTCATCCTGTGAGTTCATGGCTTTATGCTCTGACTTACTGGAGTAACTGCTTTATTCAAAATTTGCAACTTTCTTTTCTATTTTGATTTTATCTATTATCTATTAATTTTCTAATGTATATTACCTTCATAGTTATTTTAATTATTGCTTAATTTCCCATTAATATTAGGGCTTAAATTCCTCTTTTCATTAGTATTTCACATTGGTATATTATAATTTTTACTGATGTCAATTGTAGTGCTCCTCTAATTTTGATTAGAAATTTCTTTTGATGCCTTATTTAAGGTTTTCTAATCTTCATCTGACTGGTATTAACTTGAGTGCTAGCTCAAAATATTTTCTCCTTGCTTATTGATTTAAGTTAAAGTATTAGCAGCAGAACTAGTGCCTTGAAACCCGCTTTTAGAATTATTTTTATTAAGGAATATTTCATGTTATTGGCAGAGGTATATTTCTAAATTCATAAACTCCTTAGCTATTTAATCTTTTGTTAGTTTTGTTTGCTTGCCTGTTTATTGCTTCAACCTTGCTTTTAAAGATTATCTTGCTATTATCTAACTATTTAAATCACTATTAATATTACTTCTAATGATTTATGAAAGTCTTATAGAGTAAAATAACAATTAGTAATCTCCGTGTTGTTAAGAGCTTAATGGATAGGCCAATACTATTGATCCTTAGTGACGATCTTTCTCAACTCCTCAAATCCAATCTTTGCCTTTTAAATTTAATGATAATTATTGTCTTACTGGGTATAGTTTATACTATTTTGAAAGTTTGAAAAATTCCAAGGCAGACATAAACTGTGAATTATTAGAAAATGCTTGAAAAATCTCTGTAATCATATAAAATTAGCTACTGTTTTATTATTTTTGTTCAGATGATAATAATTCACTCATCAATTTCTTTACTGTTTTAATTATATTATTAAAATTTATATAACACTTATTCCTGCAATTATCATAATTTGATTATCAGGGGTTTTGGGGTTTTGGGGAGATCGGAA